TGAAGGTCAGGAAGCCAAAGAAGAGTCAAATGTCAAGAGGTCAAAGGGATTCAAGGTCACTGACCTGCCCGTAGCAATATGACCTGGTCATCCAGAGGTAAGGAGGAAAAGTGTGGGATCCTCTTCGCCCACTCAACAAGTGTGAATAGCTGTTTGTCAGCTGCCTGACAGATGTTAGTCACGGGGTCATTTGGCTGCAGGGGACAGGGGGGTAAGATTTATGGACGATCTGGAGGTACACTGGGAGCCCCCCTTGTAAGAGATCTAACATCCCCTTTCTCTATATAATCTTTCTTCATTTAGACCAATCTCTGTAAACCAGGCTTCTTGACTGGCACTCGTGTAAAGGATTAGTTATTTGCTTGTGGTCCTGCAGATGGAGGGAGCTAACACACCCACCTGAAATGTTTTGAGAGGCTTTGTTTTGGCAGCATTCCCAGTCCCAGGAAGTGTGAGGAACATTGAGGGGAAGGGAAGGGCAGAAAGAACAGACCTAGACTCCCTCCCCAGCACCGCCCCCCCCCATCACAAAGGAGAGGGATTGATCCCATCACTCACACTGCTGCCGCTACCCCCGGTTCCCCCAGGACCCTCAACGCCCTGGTCACTCTTCTGCTCCACAGCAAGCTCTGCCTCCAGGATCCTGTCCACGGGCATCTCCTCGGGGGCTCCCCCTGCCCCTTCCCCATCCCCGTCCTTGTCCTTTCCCCGCTGACGCTCCTCCTGTACAGCTGCAGGGGGTGGGGAGAAAAAAGTGAAAGGTCAGCAGCCAGCCATGAGGGAGTCCTGAAACATCCTTAGAACCTTATCAAAGTCTGATGTCTTGAGGCTGGAGTTGTGGCTCAGTGGTAGAGCACTTGCCTAGCACATGTGAGGCACTGGGTTCGAACCTCAGCACCATATAAAAATAAACAAATAAAACTTTAAAAAATATTATGTCCATCTATAGCTTAAAAATATGTTTTAAAAAAGTCTAATGTCTCTTGGGAAATGTTTATAACAATTGGGGAAATCACTAGAAAAGGCAGACTGGGACACTCTGAAAGCAGCAGTTTAATTAAAGGGCAGATTAATAAGTTAAAAAGAAAGAGGAGGGTAAAGGAATTAGGAAGGAAGCTGATATTTAAACAGTGCTAAGCTTAAGCTAAACTAGTGCTAAGAAACATATTGACTATTCACTCAAGTATCAAAAGGACCCTGGGGACTCTTGTTCCCACTTTTAAAGGTGAAGAACTTGGGTTTAAAGAGGCTACATAGTAGCCAGACAGGTGGCACACGCCTGTAATCCCAGCGTCTTGGGAGACTGAGGCAAGAGGATCACCAAGTTCAAAGCCAGCCTCAGCAATTTAGCGAGGTCCAAAGCAATTCAGTAAGACCCTATCTCGACATAAAATATAAAAAAGGGCTGAGGATATATGGCTCAGTGGTTAACTGTCCCTGGGTTCAATTCCCAGTAACACGAAAAAAAAAAAAAAAAAAAAGAGAGAGACAGAGACTAAATAAATTGCCCATGTTCACATACTACATGGCAGATTCTATACTTGAAACCAAGCATGCCTGATACAAATCTTGTGTCCCTCTGACTCAATTTAACAGGCAGTAAAATGAGCACTGGCCTGCATCTTCAGAATTAGCACTCTGATCCTGGCCCTATTACTCTTTTGTGGCATGACCTTGGGAAAGCCAGGCCCCCAGCTCGTCTTTTCTAAAGAAGGGATTTGACCAAGAAACTTTCTGAAGAGTCTCTCTCAGAATTCCAGGAACCAGACTTAAGAAAACAAGATAGAGGGGCTGGGGTTGTGGCTCAGGGATAGAGCACTCGCCTAGCGCTGGGTTCGATTCTCAGCACCACAAAGAAATAAATAAAAGTATTGTGTCCATCTACAATTTAAAAAAATAAAATAAATAAATTTTTAAAAAAGAAGACAAGATGGAAACGTAAAAAAGGGAAGGCAAGGCCTTTCATTAAAGTCTACAGCTTGAGAGGGTAGAGTCTCAGTGGTGGGAGAAAATACCACAGAGAACAGAGAGATGGAGACCAGAGGAGAGCTGGGATCAAAGAGAGGAGTGATTGCTCAAGTTAGAGGAGACAGAGGAGACCATGATAGGTAAGGAAAGGTTATCCTACCCTAGAACCAGTCTGGGCTGGGGAGGGGTCATAGTGCAGACTACAGACAGAACCATTAAGATGGAACAGAGTACCAAGAAGAGCAGATGAGAGGGAGAGGGAAGACAAACATCGCCCCCTGGAGGACAGAGAGAATAGTCCCACATTCCTGACAGATACACAGGCTGTGGTTTCCTTCAGTCTTCCCTCTACTTCCTCCCTGCTCTCCCACCAGCAGGATGGGAAAGGAAGGACCCGTGGACTGCAAAGTTTAAGTAGAGAAGTTCCTTACCTTCCCTCTTCATGCCAGTGGCCAGGCACTTCTGATAGCGACAGTACTGACAGCGGTTCCGCTGGCGCTTGTCCACTGTACAGTCTTTGTTGTCCCGGCATGAGTAGGTCAGGTCCTTGCGGATGGTGCGCTTGAAGAAGCCCTTGCAGCCCTCACAGCTGTAAACTCCATAGTGTTTGCCTACAAGGGGAGGGGGATAGCAACATTAAGGCTGCATGGAGACCTCATCACCATTAATTCTTACAAATTTCCCCTAAGCAAAACTTAGTCAAAGTTCTCCTAACATTTGTCCAGTGTAGATGAACCAGGAAGTTAAGGGATAATCCATTCCCACCCTCTTCACTGTTCAGAAGCCCTACAAAAGCTGGCTTTTCCCTCAGCCAACCCCACACACTCCATCCCACATCTGAGCTTCAGGTTCCTCAGCCTCCTCCAGCTTACTTGCTCTGACCCAACCCAAGAAGCACCAGGATTGTTTCCTCCTCTGTGCTCTGAGCCCCATACCTGAGCTGCGGTCCCCGCAGATTGCACAAAGCCGTTTGCCAGCCCCAGGGCCACCTGGAGGGGGTGGACAGTGCAGGCCCCGGACCCCTAAGACTGGTGGCTTCACATCTTCAGGGGGGCCAGACCCACCCCCAGGGAGCGACACTGTTGAATTAATCTGGGATAGGGGAAATAGGGAAGTCACAGGGAGACTCATTGGGAAGCAGAATCTCTTGGAGGTAATGGAAATCATTCCCTATCATTAGGCAGGGCCCTGCATTGCACATCGCAGAGGGCATTAGCTACACTCAAGTCTATGAGAAGGGTCATCCCTGGAGCACAACCCCAAAGAGAATAACAGTTGTCCCTTGAAATTGTGAAACACAGTGGCCCTGAAGGGCATGTGTCTTGGAATGGCAGGTGGGACAAGATGGGTGGAAACTCATTGGCAGGTGAAGGGGACATCAAGATTATTTAATAGGGCTATTTTATTTAATAGAGTTAGGGATCAAACATGCAATGGAAATCAGTCGCCTCAGGAAGGGCTAAGGACCACAGGCCTGCTAGAGGTCTTGGAAGGTCAGTGGATAATGGGAAGTTCAAACAAGGATCTGGGGTTACAAGGAAATGAAAGTGGAGAGGCAGTAAGTATGTCACAACCTCTCACCTGGGGGCTGCTGACAGGCCCGGAGAATCCTGGGGGAGCTGGAGGGGGCAGACCAGGGGACCCCATGGAAGAACTGATGACTGGGAAGGGGGAGCCCAGCGGGGGTGGTGGCATTGGAGGTGGGGGTGGAGTCCCAGAGCCTCCAAGGGATGGGGCTGCTGAAGGGGGAAGAGGTGGCCCAGGAGGAGAAGGGGGAGGAACCCCCTGGGCAAGAGGATTTGGAGAAGAGCTGTCTGGGCTTCGGGAATCTGGGGGGAAGGGTACATACAGCACAGAGACACACAGAGACAGAAGAGACAAAAAGAGAAAATGAGTCTCCCAGTCATCCACCTGAAGACTTTAATTTTCCAAGCCCCCACCCCACCCCACTCCACTCATCCCCAAGTACAGAAATACCCTGCTGTCAAACAGTTTAACTCCTAATTATGGTGAAAGGAGGGGGTTGACAAAAGAGAGGGAAGATAATTCAGGTGAGAAAAAATTACAACCAAAGCATCTCAATGAATACCAGGTCACCGGGAGTATAGGTGTCCCCTGGGTGGGGCAGCACGTGGGCTGGACCAGCCAACCCCCCTCCATTATAACCAGGCAGCCAGAGCCCCCCCCCCCCCAGGACGCAGAGTCTGCCTTCAAACGTCCAGAGTCCTCAAGTTCAAGGGGAATCGTGTCATTCTCACACCCAGGACCTCGGGTGCAGGGATTTCAGAGGCCACCACAGGGAGGGCGGAAACTCCCCCTCCCCGCCCCGCCCCGGGGGGTGGGGGAGGAAGGCGCTAAGGCCCTCGGGAGGTAGAAGACGCGTGTTTACAAACAAGGGGGCGGGAGCGCCAAGGAAAGAGCGCTGGGGGAGAGCATGGGGGAGGGGTGCAGATAGCGCGGTCACTTGCTCTCCAGCCCGTCCGCTAGGACACTCACCCCGCCCGCTGTCTCCCATCCCGTCCCGTCCAGCCTCCCCCGGCTCCGGCTCCGGGGTTTGTTGTTCTCCGGCTGCCGCCGCCGCCGCCGCCGCGGGATCCAGCCAGGGCCGTCGCCGCCGCCACCGGGACGCGACCCCACAATGCATTTCTTTTCGCACCCCCACCGGCCCACACTGCCCTGCGGCATGCCGCTGGGGGAGGAAGGGCGGGCGGGCGGCCCAAGACATGATTTCTGGTTGAGTGTAGGGATACCGAAGAGGTGCCAGGGGTTCCCAAGGATTGACCGGGGGACTAGCTGACCACGAGGAAGCCCCAGAGAAAAAGCCGGTGGCCTGGATCGAGTCGAATTAAGAGGCTCGCTCAGCTCTGTACCAAAATGACAGCGCCTAAGTGGCAGCCATCTTTGTACAGACGGGAAGTCTCGTCGCTAGTTCCCGCCCCCTCGCCTAGTTGAAAATGAAGGAGGCGGTCTCCTCCAGCCTATTAGTCAGCCTCGCCCACCCTCCCCTTAAATAACCTCCACTTCCGCGCATGCGTGCCACTGTAGAATGGCCTCTCTGCTACTAGAGTGCCGCCATATTGGTAAAGGTATTAGGGAAAAGGTAGAACGAAATTTCCTGTTCTCGCGGGAGCTAGAGGCGTGACTGCCACGTCCGAGCAAAACGGGAACGGAGAGGATCCCGGAGCCGGTGAGAATTCCCTGCTTCCCTTCTGTCCTTTTCAGGCCTTTTCCCATCTAGTGTGTCATAGAGACGAGGGACCAGAGAGCCTGTAAAGTGTCTTGATTAAAGGCTAGAGTGGTGTCTTGGGGGGGGCCTAAATCCAGGAAGGGGTTCGGGATAAAGAGAACGAGTCTTAGGAACAATGTGGGAGGGGACTGAATGAAATGGGGGAGCGTCCCGTGGATGTGGTCCGAGGGCGCAAGCTGAGTAAAGCAGACCCCGTGTAGAATTGAGGGTCAAGTAGAGTCATTGTCTCTGTCCCTCTGGTCAGCGTGATGGCCAGGGGCCTGCGGGCCCCCCACTGGGTGGCCGTAGGACTGCTGACCTGGGCGTCTTTGGGGCTGCTGATTGCCGTACACGGGGGTCATGGTGACCCTCACGAGGACATGCAAGAGGACTTCCATGGCCACAGCCACAGGCACTCACATGAGGATTTCCACCATGGACACAGCCATGCTCATGGCCATGGCCACACTCACGAGAGCATCTGGCATGGGCATACCCATGGTCATGATCACGGACATTCACATGAGGATCTGCACCATGGCCACTCCCATGAAAGCCTGTATCACAAAGGACATGGACATGACCGTGAACATCATGGAGGCTATGGGGAGTCTGGAGCTCCAAGCATCAAGCACAACCTGGACACTGTCACACTCTGGGCTTATGTGAGTTCCCAGGGGATGGGGTAGAGAGGGACTATTTCTGGATTGTTGGAAAACTTCACAAAACTTGACCCCTGACTCTCCTCACTAGGCACTGGGAGCCACGGTGCTGATCTCTGCAGCTCCATTTTTTGTCCTCTTCCTTATCCCAGTGGAGTCAAACTCCCCCAGACACCGCTCTCTGCTCCAGATTTTGCTAAGTTTTGCTTCTGGAGGGCTCCTGGGAGATGCCTTCCTGCATCTTATCCCTCATGCCCTGGGTAAGTATCTAATCCTGCCTCAAAGTATAAACTACTATCTTATTCTTTAGGGAAAAAAGGGTTATTTCTCCTTTGTGATTCCTGACATTCTAATATTTATCACATACACGTCCTTTAGGACATGTTTTCCTCATCTACATTTTTTTCTTTCTTCCTGCAGAGCCTCATTCTCACAACACTCTGGCACAGCCTGGACATGGACATTCCCACAGTGGTGAGGAAGAGATATATGGGTACAGCTGTTGGGATGCTGGGAAAAATCTGTGTCTTCCTGTTCTTCACCTCCTGCACTTGAGGAGGAGCCTATAATCCACATCTCCCATAACCTCTCAATGCCTCCATTCCCAGGCCAGGGCCCCATTCTGTCTGTGGGGCTGTGGGTTCTCAGTGGAATTGTCGCCTTCCTTGTGGTGGAGAAATTTGTGAGACATGTAAAAGGAGGACATGGACACAGTCATGGGCATGGACATGGTCCCACACATGGAAGTCACGGAAGACAGGGTGAGCCCAGAAACCACTCTGCTGAAAACCACCTTGTGTGCCTCAAAATCCCTTCATCCTGTGGCTGTCAGGTGGAACAGACTTCCCTTTGAGGATGTGTCAGAAGATGTCTGCTTTCAATCTGACCAACTCCTTTGTTCCCTCAGAGCATCCTTCAAAGGAGAAGTCCAGCTCAGAGGAAGAAGAAAAGGAAGCAAGAGGGTTGCGGAAGAGGAGAGGAGGGAGCATCGGGCCCAAAGATGGGCCAGTAAGACCTCAGAACCCTGAAGAAGAAAAAACAGGCTCAGGTAAGGGCCAGGGTTGATGATAAGCTTGGGCAAGGGGCACCATTGTGAATCACACAGAATATATGTTGTGGATATTGCTATGTGTCTGGGAAACACTGAGGGATTATGTGTGAGATGATCTCTGAGAGGAGATATGAGAATGGCTGACGAGGACTGGAACTGGGGATGATAGATGCCTCTGATCATTTTCTTTCTCTGTGCTACACAAGACCTGCGTGTGTCCGGGTACCTGAATCTGGCTGCTGATTTGGCACACAACTTCACAGATGGTCTAGCTATTGGTGCTTCCTTTCGAGGGGGCCGAGGGCTGGGAATACTGACCACAATGACTGTCCTACTTCATGAAGTGCCCCATGAGGTCGGGGACTTTGCCATCTTGGTCCAGTCTGGCTGCAGCAAAAAGCAGGTTAGTAATGATGCCCACCAAGCATAATTACTTCAAACCCTTTGTTCCTGCTCACTCACTCAAAACCCAGGACTGCCTCTCATTAGTTCTAAACATGGACAACAAATTTAGAAATGAGGATGAAGAAGTTTTGTTTTCTTTGTCCTTTAATTCAGTATTTCTTGAATTGCAAGTCTATAAGTGATCTGATTATTTTATGGGTAATGTTATACACTGGACTACAAGGTCCATGGGAAGGACCTATGCTCAAATTTTTCTATCAAGTGCAATGGCATACTATAATCCCATCAATTTGGGAGGCTGAGGCAAGAGGATCAAAAGTTCGAAGCCAAGGGCAGCATGCTGGTGCATGCCTATAATCCCAGAGGCTCAGGAGGCTGAGGCAGGAAGATGACAAGTTCAAAGCCAGCCTCAGCTACTCAGCAAGGCCCTAAGCAACTTAGTGAGACCCTGTCTCTTAAGTAAAACATAAAAAGGGGTGGGGATGTGGTTCAGTTGTCAAATGACCCTGGGTTCAATCCACAGTACCAAGAAAAAAAAGTTCAAGGCCAGCCTTGGCAACTTAGCAAGACCCTGTCTCAAAATAAAAAATAAAAAGGGCTGGGTACGGATGTAGCTCAGTGGTAGAGTGCCGCTGGTTCAATCTCCAGGACTGCAATATATATATATACAATTTTTTTTCTTCAGAAAATATGTAGTCTGGAACAACCTTCCCATCTTTTTAAACCTGGCTTTTTAGTTTCTGAAGACGTGTACCCAACACCTACACACCTATTCTTCACTAATCACATCTAAATCACTGATAGTCTTAGGGCTGGGGATATAGCTCATTGGTAGAGTGCTTGCCTCACATGCACAGGCCCTGGTTCTCCCCAGCACCATAAATAAATAAATAGATAGATAAATAAATAGATCGTTGATAGTCTTTAGCTATTGATGAGTACCTTTTTCTCTTTTCTGCCCACCAGGCGATGCGTCTACAACTACTGACAGCAGTAGGAGCACTGGCAGGCACAGCCTGTGCCCTTCTCACTGAAGGAGGAGTAGTGGGCAGTGAAGTTGCAGGTGGTGCAGGTCCTGGCTGGGTTCTGCCATTCACTGCAGGTGGTTTTATATACGTAGCAACAGTGTCTGTGTTGCCAGAGCTGTTGAGGGAGGCGTCACCATTACAGTCACTCCTGGAAGTGCTGGGGCTGCTGGCAGGAGTTGTCATGATGGTGCTGATTGCCCACCTCGAGTGAGGTGGGATAAACCACCCCCACCCCTGCCCCAAACGTCTACCCCTAACTCCAAGTCAGGGGTCTATGGTAGCTAGGGGCCCTGGCCATGGACGTCTGCCAGAGGAAGGACTTGTAGCCCAGAAAAAACAGTGACTTTGGTATTAGGACCTTCAAGTTTTGGTAGTCTTACAGAGGTCATAGAGGTGAGAATAAGAGGCCAGAGGGACCAAAATGTTGGGCACTGCCCAGCTATATTGTAGATTTTGGAGGGAAAAATGGGGCCATGAAGAAAACTGCAAGAAAAAGGATGGCAGCCTACCTGGTGTACCCTACCTACTTGTTCTCTGAGGACCAAGCTGCCAAACATTTCTCCAAGGTCTTTCTCATCTGTTGGTGGAGGCTTCAGGGAAGACCTGAATCCCGGACTGAGGGGGTGACAGGAGGAGTTGGGGGTAAACATCAATCGTGTGTTCTGATTTGGGAGTGATCAGAGGATTAGGGGGTGGGAGAAGATTAGTTGGTAATCTCATAGCCTAATTTTTGTTTCGTTTCTATTCATTTTATATCATTGTGTTTGAATCGAGGGGGAGGGGTGGTGACCGGAAATAAAGACCTTGGATCTTCCGCCCCACATGCAGTCTTTGTCTTTTGGGGGGGAATGGGGCCCCTTGTCTCCCCCACTCCCCAGGCCCCCTTTCGGTGTCGTCTGGACACGCCCCCGCGGTGGGAGGTCGGCCGGCGCTCAGGGCCGCAGATGGCCTGTGGCTGGTAGGGCTTCGCTGGGGCCTTACCACGCCCCCACTGTGCTTGGATTGGCTCGTGGCTTGGGTGCCCGCCCACCCGCCGCCCGCCATGGCGTCTCAGCTTCGGCTCCGTTCTGCGCTGGCCTTGGTCACAGGTTCAGAGGGTCTTAGGGCGGGTTGGGGTGCCCGAGTTATATTAAGGGGAGCACTCTCAAGCCCCACGGCCCCAGTGACCTTTGGCACCTTGTTTGAATTTTACTAACTTTGCGCCCTGTGACTTCTGGCCCGGCCTCTCCTCTCTCCTTCCCTTCTCCGCATACTTTTTCCCATCTCAGGTGCGGGTAGCGGCATCGGCCGGGCGGTTAGTGCGCGCCTGGCCAGAGAGGGGGCTACCGTAGCCGCCTGCGACGTGGACGGGACAGCAGCTCAGGAGACGGTGCGGCTGCTAGACGGGTCGAGGAGTGAGGAAGGGGCGCCGGGCGGGAACCACGCTGCCTTCCAGGCTGATGTGTCTGAGGCCAGGGCCACCAGGCGCCTGCTGGAAAAAGTGCAGGTGAACTCCAGGCAGCCTTGCCCTTGCACGCACACAGATAAAGCTCTAACATTGTCCCCACTGCCCCTGGGTCTTTGTGGTGTTTTGATGTGTAACCTCCCCCCTCCTGTAGGCCAGCTTTTCTCGCCCGCCATCTGTCGTTGTGTCTTGTGCGGGCATCACTCGGGATGAGTTTCTGCTCCACATGTCTGAGGATGACTGGGACCAAGTCATAGACGTCAACCTCAAGGTGGTGACCTCTGAACCTGTGACCTCTGATCCCCCAAGCCAGGAGAGGGAATTGGAGGAGGACTGTCACCCCAGCTGATCTCACCTTACTACCCTCTTCTGCCAGGGCATTTTCCTAGTTACTCAGGCTGCAGCTCAAGCCTTGGTGTCCAGTGGTTGTCACGGCTCCATTATCAATATCAGTAGCATCGTTGGAAAGGTCAGGTTGGGTTGGGACAAGGTCAGCCAGCCAAGTGGGCACAGAGAGAAGGGCCCCTCCTTGAGATTCCTTACTCACCTTAGATCTCTGACTCACCTGTAGGTGGGGAACATCGGGCAGATAAACTATGCTGCATCCAAGGCTGGAGTGATTGGGCTCACCCAGACTGCAGCCCGCGAGCTTGGACGGTTGGTCAGCCACCTCGGGTGCAGGGGACTTCACTGAGGCATGTAGTGCCGTGAGGGAAGGGTCAGCAATCGGTCTAGAGTTCAGCAGCCACTCTCCCTTCCACAGACATGGGATCCGCTGTAACTCTGTCCTCCCAGGGTTCATTGCAACACCCATGACAGAGAAAATGCCACAGAAAGTGAAGGATAAGGTAGGAGGCCATCAGTGGAGGACACAATCAGTCAGAGACCCAACATCTCTGGGTTTCAGAGAGAGAATGCTGGGCCCAGTGCCTGGCAAACAGTAAGTATTCAAAAAATGTATGAGGGATGGAGACAAAAGAAAAAAATCATGGACTCAGCCTTCAAAACAAATCCATAAAAGAAACTTTCACCACCCATATATGAGTGTTTTCTTCCAGGTGATCGGAATGATCCCAATGGGACACTGGGGGAACCCTGAGGGTGAGCACTGAGTGGAGAGGAGGGAACCTGAATAAAAAAAAAAACAAGATTTGTATTTTGGGGAGGGTCTCACCAGTATTTGTAGTTGGGGTGGGGGTGAGGGGGTGCTAGAGATCATGGCTACTTTGAATCTATGGAAGTGAATGGGATTGTGCCCTTTCCCCACCATTCCTATAGATGTGGCAGATGTGGTTGCATTCTTGGCATCTGAAGACAGTGGATACATCACAGGGGCCTCAGTGGAAGTCACTGGTATGATGCCAGCATGGGGAAAGAGAGGGCACAGAAGTGGAACTCAAACCATATGAGAAAATGAGGGAAGCCTGGAGCTACTGTGGGAAGGGCAGAGGCTTCCAAGGCCAAGAACAGAAATGGGTACCCCCAGCCCATTTATCTCTCCACCCATGCATCTGTCCAAATGTTTTTGCCCCTCCCAGGAGGTCTTTTCATGTAACTGCCTCAAGGACCCTGGACTCTTCTCACTCCCCCACCACTCTGCCGGGTCTCCTGCTGATGAGGACTCAAAGTTCCCAGGCTACAAAAGGGGTGGCAGTGTATGGCCCAGGAATGCTGAATACGGGAGGCAGGGGTGCTTGTGACCCTAATAAATTCCAAATCCTCTTCCCTGCCACCTCCGGTTCTTCTTGTGTCCAAGCCCTCAGACCCTTCCCCACCTCCCCCTCTTCCCTTTCCCGAAGGATTGTTCCCTTTCACTGCCTGGTCTCCCAGGGCAACCCCCGCCGCCGGGTGTGAGAGGAAAGAGTGTATGTCACTGTGTATGCGTGACACTCTGGGTCTTTTTGGAGGGAGGGGTTTCTGCCCTACCCCCTTTGGCTGGTTCTGCAGTGCCAGTCCCCTCCCCCCACCCCAACTCCCTGAGTCCTTATGGTCCCCAAGGGTGATTTGTTCTTGGCCCCATCCTGGTGTCCAGTCTGGCCTTGGAAGGGGGTCTTGGAACAGGTGGCCCTCCCCCACCCCTCTCCTTTCTCTCAGTCCCCCCTCCCCTTTCTCTCCACCTTACAATAGCTGCAGCCGGCTTGGGGTCGGATGGGGGGGATTAGGGGAGGGGGCCAGGATTAGGGGAATGGACCAGCCGATGAAAGGGGCTGGAGGAGAGCAGAAGGGAGGGGGTTGGGAAGAGAAGGAGGAGGAAGGGGAGGGGGTCCGCGCTAATCGACTCTGGCGCCCACATAAGGACTGGCCACGGACTGAAGGAGAGGACAGGGAAGTAGGGGGCAACTGGGGTGGGGGGTCGAGGGAACCCACTGCTGACTTGTCCCAGAGACAGGCCATCCCCTGGCAGCCTCTGCCCAAGTCCGGGAACCCCTGCATAGACTGGCGGGGGGGGGAAAAACCCGTCACGGTCTTTTTTCCCCCATATCCTTCTCATTCCCTGCCCTCAATGGGGATCGCTCTGCTCTTTCCTCTTGCCTCTCCTCTCGGTTCCCTTCTTTTAGAGTCCTGGAAAAGGCTTCTGCCCACTTCCCACTCCAGACATTCTGTCCCTTGTGTCCCCCACCCACACGCGCACACCCCCCTCCCCAATGGGGACCCATCTTATGTGTGTGTGTGTGTCCCTGCTTCCGCGTGGTGTCTCCATTCCCCTGTTCTTCCTGTGCGCCTCCCTCCCCCGCCCCGGGCCGCGGCTCTTGATTGTCCAAACGCAATTCTCGAGTCTATAGCTCCGGCCGAGAGTTGAGTCTGGACGTCCTGAGCCGCTGCCCCCAAACCTCGAGGGGGAGAGCGGGTCGGAGGGTCTAGGGAGAGGCAAAGCGGAGGGTGGAGCAAATCCCCAGGGTTTAGGGGAATCCCGAGTACTTTGGGACCTAGTTGCATTCACAGGACTTGGCTAAGGCGACAGAGTCTCTTTTGCACCTTCCCCCCCCCCCCGCCCCCGGGATCCCAGGCTGTGGGTTACGAAGAAGTTGTATGCAGGGGGCGGGAGAGATCCCCAGGGCCACAAGGGGATGCGGAGTGGGGGAGGTGGCCCCCTTCCCGAGCCCTCGGTCCTTCCTGGGGTCCCAGCGATCCCAGGCCCCGCCCTCCGGAGCAGAGGCCCCGGGTGGGGAAACCCGGGTAGGGAACAGTGGCTAAGGTTGGCCGCGCAACCGTGCTGGGCCAGTTGAGGAGACAGAGGTCCCCACGTGGCGCGGGACTCCCGGGACGCCTGCTCCTCGCGCGGGGCGGGCGCGTCTCGTGGGCGGGGGAACCCCGGCGTCCACGTCGCGGCCCACCCCCGCGCCGCGAGTGGCGGGTGACGTCTGCCAGCGGGGGGGTGGAGTGGAGGGATAGGCGGAAGTGACGTAGGGCCCCAGCGCCCGGGCCATGGCGGCGGCGGCGGCGGGAGCTGCTGTCTGAGCAGCGACTGCGGACGAGCGAACTCGGCCCCGGAGTCAGGGCCTAGGGAGAGGCGCGGCGGCGGCTGGAGCGCGGACTGTGGAGTCGGGTGAGGGGCAGCGCCGACGCGGGGGCGGGGGAGCAGAGGGGAGTCGCTAGAGGGGCGGGGTCTGCGCGAGGGTCGGCCCCCCTAACACCGCCTCCCCTTCCCCCCTCCCTAGCCTTCCTCGCCTTCTCGGCCGCGGAGCCCTGGTGGGGGGTCTGTGCCCGGTCACCATGACGACGCCGGCGAATGCCCAGAATGCCAGCAAAACGTGGGAACTGAGTCTGTATGAGCTGCACCGGACCCCGCAGGTGACAGGGACTCTTCCCGTCCTGGTTTACCCCTTCCCCTCAAATCCCTGATAAACAGACCCGTCACACAGCTTGTTTTCCATTTTTCCCCCTATTCTGCTGACCCTGCCTGATTTCACAGACTCCCTGGACCTACCTTTGAATCACCTTTTTAAAGCACTTTTACATTTAATTTAATCCTCAAAACAGCCCTGTCAGAGAGTTAGAGCAAATATTACTATCTACATTTGAAAGATAATAAACAGACACCAAAATTACCTTCTCTGTTCCCCAGTTCAGTGTCAGATCAGTGTATACAGGACTCACCTTGGAAGTTTATTTAAAATGGAACTTCACAGGTCCCCGCCACCCACATTCTGTTTCAGTAGTGCAGTGGACCCTCAGAATCTGCATTTATAACAGGCACCCTAGGGAATTATGATGTAGATAGTACCAGAACCACATTGTAAAAAAAAAAAAACTGTTGACTGAGTCTTCTTCAAACCATAGATCTATGGCCCCACCCCCACCATCACCCCCAAACCTCAGATTCTCCTATTCCAAAACTCCTCTTAGTTTATGGACCCTAATCCTTTCCGTTATCCATTCTCTCCAAATTAGTAGTCCTTCTCCATCTCAGAATCCCAATCTTCCTCAGGTAGCCAACATGATAACCAGATCCTGCCATCTCACTGTATTTCTCAACATTCCTTTCTTATGATTGCTTGTTTTGAAAATCCCTTTCCTGGTAACCCACCATCAACCTTCATTCACTGATGCTTCCAGGAAGCCATCATGGATGGCACAGAGATTGCAGTTTCCCCTCGGTCACTGCATTCAGAACTCATGTGCCCCATCTGCCTGGACATGCTAAAGAATACAATGACAACCAAGGAGTGCCTCCATCGGTTCTGCTCTGACTGCATTGTCACAGCCCTGCGAAGCGGGTAACAGGAGGGACTTGTTCTGAGATTGGGTGAAGGGGCCTCGAGTTGGTGTCCTCTCTCTGGTCCTAGTTCAGCCTAGACTTCAGGCTTCTTTTCTCCTGTCCCAGGAACAAGGAGTGTCCTACCTGCAGAAAAAAGCTGGTATCCAAGCGATCCCTACGACCAGACCCCAACTTTGACGCCCTGATCTCTAAGATCTATCCCAGCCGGGAGGAATATGAGGCCCATCAAGACCGAGTGCTCATCCGCCTCAGCCGCCTGCACAACCAGCAGGCGCTGAGCTCCAGCATTGAGGAGGGGCTGCGCATGCAGGCCATGCACAGGTGAGGAGTCAGGAGAAGGGCCACAACAGGGTGGTAGAGTGGGTCCCATGGTTAAAGTCCTTAGACTATCTTTGCTATCTGCTAGCATCTAAGCCTCAGTATCCTAAGAGCCGACCACAGCCTTACTGTTGGGCCTGGAAATCATGGATGTAAATTACAGCCTTAGTAAACAACAGGCAGTGCTATTCTTAGAAAGAAAATAGCTCATCCTGTAACTTTTTAGAAGTTAGAACAGTAGATTGATTTCAAGCATAAGCTCTGAGTTCATGCTGGGGAGTAAATCACCTCCTACGCCTCCTTCTCTGTAATGTGTATCCATATTACCTTTGGGTCTTGTTAAAAATGCAAACTCCGATTCAGGTGATCGGATCTGCATTCTGCAAGCTCACTGGTGATGCCTGTGCAGCTGGTCCTTTGACCACATTTTGAGGGTGAGGACCTGTGATCTCAAGTTGCTTAACATTTCTAAGCTTGTTTCCTCAGCCATAAAATGGAGATTAAATACTCAGGGCGCTTGGCATATTGTTAGTGTTAATAAATATCAGGTACATCATTAGGATTTCCATGATCTCTTAATTCTCTGAAGTTTAAAGTCTAAGCCCCTTATCCTTGGTGCTTTCTAATCTTAACCACTTGCTTCTACAGGGCCCAGCGTGTGAGGCGACCGATGCCTGGGTCAGATCAGACCACAACGATGAGTGGGGGGGAAGGAGAGCCTGGGGAGGGAGAGGGGGATGGAGAAGATGTGAGCTCAGATTCAGCCCCTGACTCTGCCCCAGGCCCTGCTCCCAAGCGACCCCGTGGAGGGGGCGCAGGGGGCAGCAGTGTAGGGACAGGGGGAGGGGGTACTGGGGGGGTGGGTGGAGGTGCTGGTTCAGAAGACTCTGGTGACAGGGGAGGCACGCTGGGAGGGGGAACCCTGGGCCCCCCAAGCCCTCCTGGGGCCCCCAGTCCCCCGGAGCCAGGTGGAGAAATTGAGCTCGTGTTCCGGCCCCACCCCCTGCTCGTGGAGAAGGGAGAATACTGCCAGACTAGGTGAGGAGCCCTGGCTTTCCCCAGGCCACTGTGTAATCAAAGCTCACAGAGTTCCATTCAGAAGCAGGGTCACCCAATCCCTGAAGCAACCCAAACCCAGAGACCCTTTGGGAAAGTCCCCTCCTTCCCATCCCCATTTGCCGCCTCCTAAGCCCTGAACCTGCCCTCTCTCCCACCCCAGGTATGTGAAGACAACTGGGAATGCCACAGTGGACCATCTCTCCAAGTACTTGGCCCTGCGCATTGCCCTTGAGCGGAGGCAGCAGCAAGAGGCGGGCGAGCCAGGAGGGCCTGGAGGGGGTGCCTCTGACACTGGGGGACCTGATGGGGGTGGTGGGGAAGGTGGGGGTACCGGAGGAGGTGATGGTCCTGAGGAGCCTGCTTTGCCCAGCCTGGAGGGTGTCAGTGAAAAGCAGTACACCATCTACATCGCACCTGGAGGTGGAGCATTCACGGTGAGAGCCTCTGACAGCACTGGTATAGAGGGCGCGGGAGGGAAGGTGAAGAACCCTCCCCTTCACACAGCCATGAGCCTGACCCCTCTTCTCACCCCTGCTCCTTCATCTCCCTCCCTGTCCTCTCCCATTGCTCCACGTGCTCTTGCTTTGCTTCTGCTTTCTTTTTCCTCCCTTGGTCGCTTTTTTCTCTCGTTCATT